GTTCGTGGATACGATTCAGATTAGATATGCAGGCGTTCGCCAATTCACGCTTTTTGGGCGATGAGCTCATCGAAGCGGTCATAAGTGTTGGCAGACTTTGACACCTATGGGAACAGTCGGACGGCAGGAGACAACTCGACAGATGCAACAGTTCTCCCAATAGTATCGTAGCGTTTACTGAGCAGAAGCTGTCGTTTGAATTGAGAATCACTGAAACGATGGCTTCAATGAGACCATAGTTTATGAACGAATGCAAAAGAAGTGCCAAATAATTGTTCAAAAGGTTTAACCGGTTTTTGGTAATAAATGGCAAAATAGCCTTTCCTTCGGCGGCCACAAAGCCATCGTAGAGTTGCCACAAGTCCTGCATTGCAGACATGTCTGATGTGATAAGTGCCACATCGAAGTCGTCGGTCCACTCAGGAGTGGAGAGATAGAAGAGTTCAAAGACGAGCTCAAGAATATACCGCTGGATATCAGCGTAGGGCAAGTCGAGCATATTTATAAGTGCTTCGATGCCATTAGGAATGTCACAATTAATCTCACTGTGGATACCGTTAGTCATGTTGGCACAGGCATTGGTGAGCACACAATAATTGTTGGACACCCGACACATGTACACAATCCCCGGCCACGAGCGCAGTACAGATAGTATGGCGTTCTTCGAGGTTTTGTAGCGCTGTATCTTCTGCTCGAGACTATCACAGTGTTCGCCACCATATCCGTGGACGTCAGTAAAGGGCGCCACAAAGTGTTGCAAATCCAGATCAGAGCGAATCAAATGTCGCGTTTTGGGAGAATTGAGCAAAAATAGGACACAACTGATGAGGGCTTCGCTGATTTGATGGGTTNTGTCATCAACTCATTCACAATCTTATCGTAGCGTAAAATTAGCTAAAATAAAACGATAGTACAGAATAATATGATATGCATTTGCAAAACAACTACTTTTCAAATCACAAATACATTTATTTGTCTCCTTAAGCACTTTTATTCATTAATCAAAGTGTAATTCAAGAAAATTCACAAAAATCACTTAATTCTCAAAATTGCTATAAATATGAATGAATGGATAGTTTTTGGTCGATTCGCTTGCATTTAAAGTTAACTTTTTTATAAGAAAAAATAATATTTGCTTTTCATTGCAAAAAAACCATAAATTAAAGGAAATATATGAGAGAAAAAGTGTTGAATAAGAAAAAGATAAAGAAATGAATGCAAGAAATAGGATACAATGGATATGTAATACAATTGGATTGCATTGAGTGAATGAATTGAATGGAAAGTGAATGACAAGAGTATGGGAAACAACTTGTGTTGAAACGATGGAAAGACACGAAATTTGTGTTCAATATAATGAATGCAATGATTATTCGTAACGTTTGTAATGTTGTTGTCGGAGGCTATGAGAGATGTGTTTGTATTTTCACATAACATTGAAAGCAATGATTGAATGATTAAATGCTGTACTAATCACACACTGAATGAGTGAATGAATACATGAATAATACGATGAGTAGTGAATGTAACCGAAAATCACTGATTAATTGAAACATTTGACCACTGATTGCACTTCAGACGAGTGGTGCAGTGGATGACTGAGTGACTGCATGGTGTGAATGGTGTGACGGGTACTGCATGTGAGGGCTGTGGACGAGTTGATGTGATTTAGTGACACATTGGTGTCACCATAAGAGTCACCATAAGAGTCACCATAAGAGTCACCATAAGAGTCGATGCATACAAACACCACAACCACTCACTCACTGATGCCACCGATGGCCTAATCCGGGCGTCAATTGTCTCGTGCATACCATGTCTTCACTATATCGATGCAATCGGAGTAATATCAGGAATGGAAGGACACAAAGAAGTATATCTTATCTGCAATTATTAAATGATTTTATTATTATATTTATATGTGTCGAGCATGAATAGTGAATAATAGCTGACAAGTAGTACTCATTATCTTATATACCATTAAATCCTAAACTATTTGTGGCAATAGTTTGTGCCTTCATTTGCTCCCATTTTATCGCTATTTCACTCGTATTTGCATTACTTTTCATATGATTTACCAATGATTTCATCAATTGTCTCACAATATGTTTATTCATAAATTCTTTCGTTCAGAGCGTTATGACAGCGAAGACGACAACATCACCATTGATTGGTCCAAACGTATGTCACTTTAACACTGACATCAACAACCAGTTGAATGATTTGACTAATTGTTTGTCACGTCTTTGACAATGTCTTTAGCACTGAACGAGAGTCTGCAAGAAATCCTATACAACATCACCAGAAGAGATGGTGTGTCCAAAGGGCAGCGCTTGGCTTATCTCAACTGTTTCACCAAATTCTGTACTCGAGTTCAGACGATATCTAAAGATATCTGTGGTCTCACTATCGATGAGATCTTTTGCTGGTATTTGTTGTTTAAATTGTTTACAATATTTACCATAAAATGAATGAAATAATAGGAATTAATTGAAAGGATATTTAAACGGATATTGAGTTTCAATTAAAGTTTAGTTATTTATATAATAATTATTTTCTATTATATAATATATATCTAGAAATGTATGAAATATATGACTAACTAATGGATGTGTTGGTTGTGATAGCATTCGGGTGGCGCTCTTCCACGAGGCCGGAGAGGTGAGGGCCGCCGGTCTTCGGGCGATGCGATACCTGTTGCGCGACGAGGAGTCCGTGGATGCCGTGTGTCGCGTGAATCTGCCATTACTTATCTGTCGATCGATTGACATCGTGTTAGACAACCGGTTAGAGCGGATCCAAGCCCTACGTCTAGTCCGACAACTGCTATCTCTGAACCCAAAGAAGTTTCCGTCGGCCATAACTCACTGTTTGGTTGCCATCGCCAAAGACGGTGTCGAAGAGAGGGATGTGTTGGTGCGGACCTGTTGGGCGACACTCACTGAGCTCACAGTTATGAGTCCGGAGTTAAGTCAAGCATCGGGTGGTTTGAGTGCTATCATCAAAAGTGTGTTACAGTCCAACCAAACCCATCAAATCTGCGAAGCCCTCATCAGTTGTGTCCTATTTTTGCTCAATTCTCCCAAAACGCGACATTTGATTCGCTCTGATCTGGATTTGCAACACTTTGTGGCGCCCTTTACTGACGTCCACGGATATGGTGGCGAACACTGTGATAGTCTCGAGCAGAAGATACAGCGCTACAAAACCTCGAAGAACGCCATACTATCTGTACTGCGCTCGTGGCCGGGGATTGTGTACATGTGTCGGGTGTCCAACAATTATTGTGTGCTCACCAATGCCTGTGCCAACATGACTAACGGTATCCACAGTGAGATTAATTGTGACATTCCTAATGGCATCGAAGCACTTATAAATATGCTCGACTTGCCCTACGCTGATATCCAGCGGTATATTCTTGAGCTCGTCTTTGAACTCTTCTATCTCTCCACTCCTGAGTGGACGGACGACTTCGATGTGGCACTTATCACATCAGACATGTCTGCAATGCAGGACTTGTGGCAACTCTACGATGGCTTTGTGGCCTCCGAAGGAAAGGCTATTTTGCCATTTATTACCAAAAACCGGTTAAACCTTTTGAACAATTATTTGGCACTTCTTTTGCATTCGTTCATAAACTATGGTCTCATTGAAGCGATCGTTTCAGTGATTCTCAATTCAAACGACAGCTTCTGCTCAGTAAACGCTACGATACTATTGGGAGAACTGTTGCATCTGTCGAGTTGTCTGCTGCCGTCCGACTGTTCCCATAGGTGTCAAAGTCTGCCAACACTTATGACCGCTTCGATGAGCTCATCGCCCAAAAAGCGTGAATTGGCGAACGCCTGCATATCTAATCTGAATCGTATCCACGAACTCAAGAAGAGAGGGCCCCAAGCCTGCACTCTCTATTTGGAGCAATTGCTTCAGTTCTGTCAGCCCTCCTCTCAGCCAAACAACTCAAACAATAAGTTATTGAAAACTAAATTTCGAAATCATCTCAAGAAAAACGCCGACGAATCCGTCGTTCAAATGATTAAAAATTCTCAAGTCTTGAGACGCGAGTACAACACCTGGGACTGGGATCTCATCGACAGTGTGCTGCGATGGCCGGGCGATGCTCTCAAAAAATTAGACGATAATAATCACAAGACTTTTGTGAGAAAATTGCTTCAATTTTATAAACCTTCGAACAAACAATTCTCGGCCATCAGTAACACCGATGATAAGGAGCGACTCCTGTGTGTTGTCGGCCAACACTTTCTCGACTTTCTTCTGGACGCCGACGACTCGAAAGTCCATGAATANGCGTTCAACGGCACTGTTATGCGAGATATGAGATACGGAGTGTCGTCTGTATTGCGTGAGATGTCTGCGCCAGAGATTCGTCTATTCCATGGATAGTGTTTGATGTCTGCAATGATGGCATCGAGTGGTCGCGAAGTGTGGAAATCGAGACAATAGAGACCGTCAGCCGGTATTTCCGCCCACTGGAGGGGCGGCTCATAATCGAAGTGACAAATGGATGCAATGATCAGCAGTTGGTCGCGACGGTCGGTATTCCAACAGAGACTCCGTCGGCCCAACACATCCCTACCGAACCAATACAGGCGACGCCTACTATCCCAATACGTGAAACTCCAGGGGCCGGCTATTTGCGAAAACACTGCCAACAGTTGGGCGTCGGTCTCGCACTTCGCCAACGCCTTCATCAGCACTTCGGTGTCCGACTCCGTGTCGTCGATGGTTAGGTCGCCGGCGAACACCTGTCCGTTCCATTGCAAGACATTGCCCGCGATGTCCATCAATGGCTGATCGCATAGCTGTTTACCGCCGCGCAGTTGAAGTCCGGAACTCATGAGACATAACTGGAGACCCGTTTGATAGTCGCCGGCCGAGTGGACCGGTATCTGGAGTTTGGCGAACTGGTCCGGCCCTCGACGGCACAGGAAGTTTCGGATCGACTCAGTCTTATTGATCTAAACATTTTGAAAATATATTAAAATAATTGTAAATTGAATTATATTTCGCAAAATACACAGTAATTTGTGACAAATTTATTAATTACCCGGTATCTACAAACACGGTATTATAGTTTCAAATATATTTATACTGTACCGTACAGTACATGACATTATAAAGTAAGCACTGGTATTTGCTATCATTATTTATAAAATTATTAATAAGTATTTACTACAGTAGTATAAACACTAAACTAATCAATTAATTGTTGGTTATCTAAAACATTTCGAAAGTACTGGTATTGAACTCCAAAATCTATTTGTGTTTCCAATATTTTACACCCCTTTCCCATTCCCT